TGGAACTCACTGTGTAGCCCAGGCTGGTCTCGAACTCACAGCGATCCTTCTGCCTCAGCTTCCCGAGTGCTGGGATTACAGGCGTGCGCCACCACGCCCGGCCATGTGAAGTATCTTTGAAAAGTGATTGCCATGGTCCAACATTACAGCAAATCAGTGTCCCCAGAAGACTTGAGACACAGATTCTGTGTGTGGTGGCAGTGTTTCCTGTCGAGGATACCTCTGATTCAGCTCCTCACATAGGGCTCATCCAGGTGCCTCTTGGGGATTCAAGAGGAAGCTATGCTTTAAGTGGTTTTTTGGTTTGTCACTTACTGGCCTGGAAGGGAGGACCTGTTGCAGCCATGCAGCCGAGGTCCCTCAGGTGGATGAGGTCCCTCACCCTCTGCAAGGCCCAGGTTATTAGGATGCTGCCTCTCCTGGTGTAGAGCAGTGGGACACCTCAGTGGGTAGTGCCTTAGACTGGCTGAAATACATTGTCTTTAGCACAAAAGTTATGCTTTAGCTGAATGGTGAATTAGATTTTGTTTTGTTTTTTTTGTTTTTTGCATTTTTTTTTTTGGTACCGGGGATTGAATTCAGGACCTAAATCCCCAGCCCTGGTAAATGAGTTGTTTAAGTTGTCATGCCCCTGCTGAGCCCCCATTGGGTGCCAACTCTAGCGAGTGTTATGTGCAGGTGATGGTGGAGGCCTACCGGCGGGACACCACCTCTAAAGACCAGCTCATTAGTGAGCTGAAGGCCACAAAGAAGCGTCTGGACTTGGAGATGAAGGAGCTGAGGCAGGAGTTAATCAGGCTGCAGGGCGAGAAGAGGGCTGTGGAGGTGGAACACTCGCGCTTGCAGAAGGAAGTGTCCCTGGCCCACCAGCAGATGGCTGACCTTGAGGAGCACCTCCAGTCAGCACAGAAAGAGCGGGATGAGATGAAGACATACCTTCAGGTCTGCCTGAAATGTGTGGAGCGGGGTTTCCTGTATACAGGGAGTGGTTGGAGGGTGGCCCCAGGGCGGAGTGTAAGCAGAACCCTGTGGGTCACCATGAGACCCACAACATAGAAAAGACTAAAAGTCCAGCAAACAAAGGGGACAGATGCCCATCATTCAGTGGTTTACAGTGAGGCATAGGAGGGCCCTGGGGAATCCAGGCAGGTACACAAGGGAAGTGACTTTCCTCCTAACCCACCCTTCCTCAGTGAACTGCTCATGCTTTAGGCACAGTAATGGGAACTCTACAATCTTTTGCTTATCAAAGGCAGATATCTGCAGCAAGTGGCTTTGTACTTCTCACATGCCTTTTTTTTCTTTGAAGTCTTTGCAGTTCGACAAAGAACAGATGGTGACTCTTACAGAAGCCAATGAGGCACTTAAGGAGCAAATAGAAGCACTGCAGCAAGAGGCCAAAAAGTGAGACTGCACAGTGTGTCTGTGGTTGTGGGTGATGCCCTCAATGAGAACTAACTCTGCCTCTGGAAAAGTAGCTCAGGGCATTCAGGTCCAAGTTTAAAGTTTCACCAACTTTGAGCACTTGCTTTTTCTACAAAATATTCCTAGAGTTTCTAAGCTGGTTTACTCATGCATCCATCCTTTAACAAGAGCTTCCTTTTAAAATTATTTTTGATGGTGCTAGGATCCACCCCAGAGCCTGTGCTTGCTAAGCAGTCTCTACCATAAGGCATACCTACAGCCCAGACATTCCCCTTCCTATTTATTTTATTTCAGCTTTTTGTGCCACATACTTACGGCAACATCCTCCCAATCCTGCTCCCTCATCAAGGGTGACACAGTGGTATTCATCCTGTACCTCATTTTGTGCTCACATAATCCTAACAAGGGCCTTCACAGGCACATACATGTGTACTATACACACATGTGTACACATGTGCAGGCAGCCTTGAGGCTTTTCACCTACATGCCATGTCCTTTGCTACTTGTCTCTTGGCTGCTTTCCTAATTAACCTGGTTGTAGGATTTCTTGCTGACAGGAAGAACGCTGGGTGCACTTCTCTGCTAGGAGCGGGCTGTTACCCTGCTCTTACCAGGTTATTTCAAAACTGCTCCAGGAGAAGGGCAGGTCTAGCAGACATAGCTCAAATTCATGAAGCTCTTGCTTCCTCTCTGGCTTCCAGAGGTACCTGCCATGGGTGTCCCTTCACCTCCCAGGGCCTCCAGGACAGGTATTCACCTGCTACCTGCCCCCGTGGTCTTCTTAGCAGCCAGGCTGGGACAGGCGTTAGGGTTGGGCTAAGCTTGGGTCTGAACCCCACCCAGCCCTTGAGGGTGAATGGGATGCCATTCACTAGCCTTTAGCTCTAGGCAGGAAGGTCAGGAAGTAGGGCAATGGCATTGGAGGTCGGCTGCCTCCTCTGTGTCTCCTTCATGTCCCAGGGCCATCACGGAGCAGAAGCAGAAGATGAAGCAGCTGGGCTCAGATCTGACCAGTGCCCAGAAAGAGATGAAGAACAAGCACAAGGCCTATGAGAATGCTGTGAGCATCCTTAGCCGCCGCTTACAAGAGGCCCTGGCTGCTAAAGAGGCTGCAGACTTGGAGCTGAGCCAGCTCAGAGGCCGGAGCACCATCAGTGACAGCGACCCTGTCCTACATGTAGGTAAACAACACTTTGCTCTATCAGAGCCATGGAGACTCTTGGGTGTAGGGCAAGATGTTTTATAAACATTTTCTTCCCCATTACCCATCTAAAAGAGACTTGTAAAGCTGTAGAACTGAAAAGTATGGGTAGCATTTCTTTGAAATACACGGGTATCATTAGTGACTTATGCACAGTATCCTCGTCATCCCAGTCTATAGTGGGATCCTGTTTTCACCAAGGAGCCTCTGTGGTGTGGAAAAACTCTGCTCCAGCTGCAAGGTACAAGTAGGACCTGCCCTGCACTCTGCTGTGGCCATGCAGCCCAGAGTCCTGGAGTATGGACAGAGTGGCGGCTGAGTGAGGGTGGAGTGCAGTGGGACTGGGCCATTGCTTGGCAGGAGGAGGATGCCCTGGAGAGACAAAGAGGGCATTTTAGGTAGAAGGAGCTCAGGCTTGGTCTTGCTGATAATGAAGCCCAGAGAGCCACATGTGGAGCTGCTGCAGTCCTATTCCTGTATTAGACACTGGCAGGCAATGGATGACGACAATGATATGGGAGATGGGCAGGAAGCAGCAGTAATTCTGCCACAGTGGCCCAGAAGTAGCAAAAGCAGGACAGGAAACAGGCCACCAAGGGCAGAGGAAGAAGACAACAGAGTGGGCAGATTTGGGCTCCATGGGGAGGGGTGGCATTGATATCAGAACTAGGCACCGGAGGGTGGATGGGGAAAATGAGCCCCAGAAGGGGACTGAGTTGGAGCTGTGACTGGAGCTGCCCCTCCTGCACTATGTGCATGGAACCTCCTGCTTCTTTCTGCTGGGGCCCTGGGGTCAAGGGGCAGCTGGTGCTTTCAGGGGCCCCCAGTGTACCTGTGCCAGCCTTGCTGGCAAGAGATGGGCTCATGTGTAACCTTGTAGTCTTCACATGAAGAAGCTCACAGCTTGCCACCTTTAAATTTTGCTATCTTTTACTTTTACTAGAAGGGGTTAAATTCTTCCTGAGTGAATTTGTTTGAATTACACTGATTACATTTCTTTATCATTGTATTTCTTTTTCTTTCTTTTTTTTTTTTTTGGTACTGGGGATTGAACTTGTATCCTTGTGCTTACAAGGCAGGCAGTGAAACCACTAAGTTAAATCATTGGCCCTGTTTCTTTTCTTTTCTTTTTGTTTATTTGAGACAAGGTCTCACTAGCCTTGAGCTCACTATGTGAACTCATAGTAGTTCTCCTGCCTCAGCTTCCTGAGTGCTAGGATTATAGGCATGTGCTGCCACACCTGGCTTATAATTGAATTCCTCATGTGAAAATTTCCTGTCTCCTGTCCACTTAAAGTTACATGAGTTGGAAGAGACTATATCTTAACATGGTGCTTTCTTGTTCAATTGAGTAAATACTCCTCCCCCTAGTGACTTTATAAAATATCAAGGGTGCTGTGTATGGTGGGGCACACCTGTGATCCCAGCTTCTTGGGAGGTTGCAGCAAGAGAATCTCCACTTTGAGGCCAGCCTTGGGTGTTTAGCAAGAACCTGCTTTAGAATAAAAGAAAGGATGTAACTCATTAGTGGAGCACTAGCCCACCATGTACAAGGCCTTGGGTTCAATCCATACGTATGTGACCAAAAAAAAAAAAGCTTGAGAGAGCATCTATTCAATTGTCACGTTTATTATTACTTTAAAATGTCCCTTCTTTGATCCTTTGGATCAGGTAGTAAGGCAGAGGATGTAAAATCTCTAGAACCTGCAGTTGAGGACAGTCATGGGTTCGGTCTGTGGTTTTACCGTGTGTCTTTGGTCAGTCAGAGGAAATCACAGCAGATAGAAGTTGGAACCTTCCTTGGGAGGTGGTTGAGCAGAACCAGAAGAGTGCTCAGAACAGGACCTGCCCATGGTGGCAGCAAGTGTGTGACTGGTATGTGCAAGCATGTGTGTAGAATGTGCACATGTGTGTGAACATGTGCCTGCATATGTGAACAAGTGTTACATTCATGATGCTGTGTGCAGCTCATGCACCACAGAATCCCTACTGTATTCTCAGAGCATTTACTGTTTAATTGGGTGATCAGTTGTGTGTGTGGGTGGTACCTGTTTGCATCATAGTGTATGAATGCTGTGGTTGGTGATCTCAAGACCCTTTCAAGAGAAGTGTATGAGGGTGTGATTGGCACGTGGCCAGGCAGCTTCAAGCCTAGAGATTCATGGAGGCTTGGGGTGAGAACCTGTCATAGGTTGATGACCAGCTGCACTGCCCCATCTACTGTAGGAGAGGATCCACACACTGGAGGTGGAGCTGCAGAGCATTGGACACAGTAAGCTGATGCTGGAGAAGGAGCTTCAGGAAGTGATTGCCATGACAAGCCAGGAGTTGGAAGAGTCCCGGGAGAAGGTGCTAGAGCTGGAGGATGAGGTAACCCCACACTACCTGGCAGGGCAGACTGTTCCCAGCACTCTAGAGAAAGTAGTGACATTGTCAGCTGTTTATATCCAGTGGAATGGTCACTGGGATTCATACTTAGAAACTTCTACCCAGTTTAGAACTTTGGTTACAAACAAGAAGACTGACTTGAACCTTTAAAAGAACTCAGAGTGAGAAGCAATTCTAGCTTCAGGTGGCATGTACTGCCACTTGATGCTGTCACTCAGCCATGGCAGCCCCTGGCCCCCTTGCTGGCTTCCTGGCCTCTCTACCAGAAGTTCTAGAGGGTAATCTGTCCCTCCAGGGCTGCCTGCTTCATTCTGCAATCTGTATTGTCTTGAAATGTGTTGCTGAGATCAGCCCAGTTCATGTTGATCTGTGCAGTGGCTCTGCTGGCTGCACACTGTCCCTATAACATCTTCCTGAAAAGCTATGGTCCCTGGAGAGCAGCTGCCATGGCCCCTGCAGTCTCAGTCATGCATCAAGGTCAGTGTGTGCAGACTTTATCACCAGCTGTTTCCTGCTGAAAACTACCCTCTTACTTCTGGGAGCACAGTGATTCCATGCAGCACAGCAGGTTTATTTCAGTCACTTTGATGTTTTAGCTTCAAGAGTCCAGAGGCTTCAGAAAGAAGATAAAGCGCCTTGAGGAGTCAAATAAGAAGTTGGCTCTTGAGTTGGAACATGAGAGTGGGAGACTTACAGGCCTCGGACAATCCAACTCGGCCCTGAGGGAGCACAACAGCATCTTAGAGACAGCGCTAGCGAAGAGGGAAGCTGACCTGGTCCAGCTGAATCTCCAGGTATTTAGGCTCAAGGTGCCAGGACGGTGAGAGATGCTGGGCCTTGAACACTATCAGTGTTGCACACGTGTCATCATCACATGAGGGAAACATGACCTCCTTGTCTTAGTGGGAAACAAACAAAAGCTCAGAATCTGGTTAATTCGTAAGCCTAGATCTCTCAGCTGCAGGAGTAAATGGGGAGCTTTGAATGTGAAACCAGAGATCATTCATTCCTTTTGCATGGTGATCTTGGCAGGGCAGGCAGGCTGTCTTCCAGTCCTAGGCCATCACAGGGGCAGTGGACATTTATGTGTCCTCATGTGGGTCAGAACTAGGTCTAACCCAGACTCTTCTCAGCTCCTGGCTTCCACATCTGCTCTGTGGCCTGAGGGATGGCTGGGATTTTTGGGAGCCTTCAGAGAGGGCCGCATTGTGTCCCCTTACCCCTAACAGAGTATTTCCTTTACTCTGGTTCCCACCACTCTCATTCTGTGCTGCCACACATTATGGTGTTGGCCATGTGACTGTATCCCATGACCTCAGATGCCTGCTGCCATAGCAGGGCCCCCCTTGCTTCATTGTTCCTCTGCATAATGTCCTGTGGTGGATGTGCTCAGCCTACCAGGCTTCCTGCTTGGCACCTACTATGAGCTCTGTAAGTTTCTTGCAGTGGTGCCTCCTTACCATCCTTCTGCAACATGGTCTAGGTGCAGGCAGTTTTGCAGCGCAAAGAGGAAGAAGATCGTCAGATGAAGCAGCTCGTCCAGGCCTTGCAAGCCTCACTGGAGAGAGAGAAGGCGGAAGTGAGCAGCCTTAAGGAGCAGGTGCGTGGCCAGCTTCCCATCCACAGCCCGCAGGGGCCTGGGAGGCACCTTTCCCACTCTGCTCCTTCCAGGGTCAGTGTTGCCCACACTATGTGATGGTGACAGTCTTCAGAAGAACTGGTGGTGGTCAAGGGAAGGTGGCATCAGATTAGATGGCCACACAGTCATGTCCTAAGGGAATGGACTGAGCACCTTAGTCCTGTTAGGAACAGGTATCCATGTCCTGCAGAGCTGATTTAGACACACACTGACCATCTGGGTGATATGCAGACAAGAAAGATGCCACTTGCAGCCCTTTCTGTGGAGGAGCTGACGACAGTCTGCTCTGGCCCTGGCTTATTTTCTTCACCATTGGAACATGAGCTTCCTGCTGAAAGTTTATTCTTACCTTAAAGGAAGGCATAAATAGCTAGATATAGTTGCACATGCCTGTAACACCAGCTATTCAAGAGACCAAGGCAGGAGGGTTCAAAGTTCAAGGCCAGCCTAGGCAACTTAGCAAGACCCTGCCCCAAATTAAAAACATAAAAAGGGCTGGGGATGTATGGTAGAGTACCTGCTTAGTGTGCACAAGGCCCTAAACCAGTACCACAAAAAAAGAAAAAGACATAACTAGGAAATGTATAAATTAAAGTGCTGGCGGAAATAAATGATGTATGTGTGACTTTTTTTTTTTTTGGTACCGGGGATTGAACTCAGGTCTTTGTGCTTGATGTATATGTGACTTTGATGTCTTTTCTTTTTCTTTTTTTTAGAAGAGTTGTGAATTTTGCTTATTTTTTGCATTTAGGCTTCTCCTGATTTAACAATAGTACACAATGGTCAAGCATTTTAAAAAGCACAAAAATGAGAGTTAGATCATCTCATATCTCCACCTAATGACAATACTGTTAGTATCTTCCGTATGAGCTGTGTTGTTTTTCTTTTGTGATGCTGGGGATTTAACCTTGGGGCAAGCACTCTACCATTAAGCTATGCATACCTCTACCTGGGGTTGTTGTTTTAATAATTTGTAAGAATTCTTTTAAATAAAGTGCTTAGTACCATTAGACAAGGGAACTAAATTATTAAAAATGGATCTCTGAGGGCCGGGGATTTAGCTCAGCGGTTTGGTGGACTGCCTTGCAAGCACAAGGACCCAAGTTCAATCCCCAGTACACCCCCAAAAAAATGGATCTCTTTTCTTTTTTATTGGTTTGTTGGTTTTTTAGTTTGTTTTTTGTTTGTTTGTTGTTGTTTTGAAACAGGTTTTAGCTCAGTCTGGCCTTAAAGTAATGAATCCTCCTGCCTCAGCCTCACCTATCTACATTTTTTGGATACTTTTGAGAATTTACTTTCCTCTTAGAAACCTTGACAGAATCTGTGTTAGTTCTGAAAAGCATTAAAATTTCAGAAAGAAGACAAGTACATGATAAATAGACTTGATAGGTTTCTTAAATAGTATGATGGAAAAGTAAATTGTTCTCAGAATCATGAATAAAATACAAAGATGGAGATATCCTGACAATCATGAGTTAATGTGTTCATTCAGTGGACACCAAAAACTGCATCCTGCTTGCTTGCTGCACACTGAGCATTACAGCAGGCACCCTGTTATTTTTGGAGGGGACCGAACTCGGGACCTTGCGCTTGTGAGTCAGACATGGTGCCACTGGGCTAAATCCCCAGCCCTACCCTCAGTTCTATTGGGAACTCATGTAGGATTGGGAGCAGCTCTGCCCTCTGGTGCTTATTGCCCATCAAGCCTCAGGTGCCCCACAGAGCACCTCATGTGGGTGACGCTAGCTTCCTCCTCCTTTATAGGTGGCTGCTGCCAGGGTGGAAGCCAGCCATAACCGCCGCCACTTCAAGGCAGCCACCATGGAGCTGAGTGAGGTGAAGAAGGAGCTGCAGGCCAAGGAGCACCTGGTACAGACACTGCAGGCCGAGGCTGACGAGCTGCAGTGAGTGATGGGCCATGTGGCAACCCATAGGGGTTGGGGCAGCCACCTGTCTTATGCTTTGATCTGGTAGAGGCCAGGCTGCTGGGGTCTCCTGCCTGTGAATCATTCAGCACTTAGCAGCTTTAAGGACTGATCAAGGGAGCCATTGCCCTTCTTTCGACTTTCATCCCAGGAAACGTTATCCTGGTGCCTTCCTGCCTTGCTCTTCCTCCCTGGGACAGGGAGGTGTGTGAGCACTCACCCTTAAGACTGTGTCCTGGGCACCAAGAGATCCTTGTAGCTCTACACTAGTGCAGCATCAACTCAGACACACTGGGGCATGGCTGTCCACGCTGCAGCCCTGGAGACCTCTGCCCACTGTGCGGTCTGTGAATGGGTGGTCAGCACTGTATCCTCAATGGTGTGGACAGAGCTTGTCTTCCGGAGGGCTTTGCAGGGCCAGCATCCAGCACCATCTGCAGCCTGAGGTGAGCAGTCTGGAGCTCACCCAGGATGGCTGCAATCCACAAGCCATATGCAGATTGGGAGGCAAACTAGGAAGATGCTGTCATTTCATTCTTACCTTTGCTAATGCCAGGATTCAGGAGGGGAAACACTCCCAGGAGATAGTACAGTTCCAGGCGGACCTGGCAGAAGCTCGGACCCAGCTCCAGGTTCTGAAGCAGCAGCTGGATGAGCAGCTGAGCCAGCAGCCTTCAGGGAGCCAAGAGGTGACTACTGGGCCCCTAACTCCAAGCCCTGTGTGCTTGGAAAGGAATCTTTATGCTTTCCTAAATATTAGAAGATAAGCAGAAATAGCATACAGCCATGATTCTAGTATAAGAGCTCCAGCTTTATAATTCCCTTGGTCTTTAACTTTCCCCCTTCAGATGGAAAATCTCAAGTGGGAGCTGGATCAGAAGGAGCGGGAGCTCCAGTCACTGAAGCAGCAGCTGAACCTGACGGAGCAGCAGGGCAGGAAGGAGCTGGAAGGAATGCAGCAGCTGCTACAGGTGTCTGTTCCTGGGCTCTGGTGGCACATGTGGCAGGTGTCTGTTCCCTGGGTTAGCTTTTCTCTGAAGCTGGGAGGACTTGCTAAGATTCCTCACATGGAAATAAATGGCCGCAGTCTCAAGTCAGCTCATTTATCTCCCAGGAAGGACTGGATTCTTGAGACTGGTTGTGTGAGGCAACTAGATGGATATTGCTTGTTCCTGGGTATGGCTGTGGAGTCTCAGTGAGATGTGGTGTGATTGTCACTGGGCCCTTCAAAGACTTGGTAGCTGCTGAGATGGAGACATCGCACGTTTCATCCTATAAAAATCAGTCCAGGGCCACCCCATTCAAGACCCTCCTAAAAACCCAGGAATTATCCTTCTCCTAATTTCCAATAAAAACTCCTAACTTCCTCAAAAAAATAAAATCATTCCACTAGAAGTGATAAACTAAGGTCTCAGGCATTGTGTTTTAGCTCTTTTTGCTTTTAAAAATCTCAATTCACTCTCTGTAGAATATCAGGTGTGAACTAGAGATGGTGCAGGAAGATCTGTCCATGACCCAGAAGGATAAGTTCATGCTCCAAGCTAAAGTGTCTGAGCTAAAGAACAACATGAAGACTCTGCTTCAGCAAAACCAGCAACTCCAGCAAGATCTTCGCCGTGGTGTGGCCAAGGTGGGTCTCAGGCTCATGTCCCCTCAGCTAACCTTGTCTGCTGGAGAGTTATATGTGAATATAAATGATAATAATAGATTTTGTTTGGACACCAGGTGAAATAATTTTACTTTGGTGCCTTTTCCCATAGGAAATTTGCTGCTTTTCATAAATCTAAGTACCATTTGGTTTCAGTAAGCTTTGTAACCTAGACAAGAGAGTGGTTGTGGTGGAGTGGCTCTGCTCTTCTGTTATAGTAGCCATGTGCCTTGGGCTGGGCCCCCAGCTACACTGCTAGCCCTGCTTAAGTGTCAGCACAGCTGCAGATTTCCACTCAGTCTATGTGAGTGTCAGCCAAGGGCAGAGGCAAGGAGCTCTCACTGACAAGAGTTTATTTAGCATCATTTGCTGTCTGTCAAATGTTGTATGTCCTAGCTGGGTTCAGTCATTCAGGCTTGTAGTTTCAGCTATTCAGGAGGCTGAAACAGGAGGATTACAAGTTTGAGACCAGCCCAGGCAACTTAGGGAGATCCTATCAAAATAAGTACTGAGGATGTAGCTCAATGCTCCCTAGAATCAATGTCCCTGAAAAAGGAGAAGGTTGTTTACTAAGTTGGGAGCACAGTACTTAATTTCTTAGGAAAGGTCAGAGTAGAGACCATGGATCTCTGGAAGCTTCTGTCTGAACTTCATTTTAAGATTGAGCCATAACCTCTGTGAGTGTCTAAACTTAGGTCATTTCTGCTTTGTTACATACATTAGGAATAAAGCTTTGCCACTCTGTGACCAACCTACCTGCCTTCTTTTCTTCCTTTTTCTTTTACTGGAGATTGAACCTAGGGCCTTTGCACCAAGCTACATCCCCACTCCCCCCAAACCCCCCTTTATTTTTATTTTGAGGCAAGGTCTTGCTAAGTTGCTGAACTGCCCAGGCTATGCTCAAACTTGTGTTCACCTGATTCAGCCTTCCAGAGTGCTGGAATTTGTATAGGCTTGTAGCTCCATATGCAGCTCACCCAGTGTTTCTTGAACTTCTGTGGTGGTCAGGTTGTGCTGATACAAAGACCAGGGCAGTACCCGCTAGGGCAAGCACCCATCTGAGTTAGGTTGTGATGGAGGGACTAACAGGGACCTTGGAGCAGCTAATGATATGTTCTTACAAACAGAGGAAAGAACCGAAGAGCGAGGCCAACTCTTCTAGCCCTGCAACACCCATCAAGATCCCTGATTGCCCAGTCCCAGCCTCACTGCTAGAGGAGCTGCTGAGACCTCCACCTGCTGTGAGCAAGGAGCCCCTCAAGAACCTGAACAGCTGTCTGCAGCAGCTCAAGTATGCCTTGTGCCCCCCTGTATTAGCTGTAAAGATGTGTGGAAGTGTTGACTTGGAGGAATTGCTCCTATGCTTCAGGGAGGAAACAATGCTAGTATAGATGGTTAGGAAGTGGGTGCTTCTCACAGGCAGGTCCTCTGTTCCATGTTGTGAGGTGAAGGTTGCTGGGAGTGAACATCCCCAATGTACCTTCAGAAAATGAAGCCCTGATGTTCTACACCCACCAACTGTCAGACGGGAAAGGCCAGTGTCATGGTCATGTGGGGCCCCATGGCAGGTGACTCTGTAATTGGAAGTCATGTGTGACACTGGCCTCAGCTAGCAGTGGTCTCAGAGTGACTTGGTAGGCATGAGGCCCTCGTATCTGTCATTTGTATAGTTCCAGGTGTCTGCCTAAAGCCGAAGCACAGGATGGAAGGAAGTGCTAAGAACTCTGACCTCTGACCTTGGCTGGTTCTGCTGGGCCTGGATAGGAGTTCCATGGTCTCCAAGGTGTCACCTGTGCTAGGGAGCCAGGTGCCATGGGCACAAGTTTGTCAGAGGAGGCTGTAGATGATGGCTTGTGTGATCTGGGTCTTTTCTTTCACTTTCTCCCCAGGCAGGAGATGGACAGCCTGCAGCGGCAGATGGAGGAGCACACCATCACTGTGCATGAGTCTCTGTCTTCCTGGACCCAGGTGGAAGCCCCCTTGGGAGAGCACACTCACCCCCGGAGAGACACCCAACAGCAGGGTCGCAGCAGGGCACCCAGAGAAGGCCTGGAGCAGTGACCCTCAACACCACTGAGGGCAGTGTGCTGCTGTGTGAAGGAATGTACCGTTTCCAATATTATTTATTTGATTGTGTGATCTGCATTTTCCTGAGAGATGAAATTTTAAGTTTTGCTTTTGCCTTTAAAAAGGAGTAAAATAATAGTAAGAGCCAAGGATTAGAGAAATAGTCATTGGAAACCACAGCCACCTTTTCTCATGAAATGACCAAATCTTAGAAGCCAGGTTTATAGCTCAGGAGTTTCTGGTTGTCCCCCTGGTGGGTTCTGTGCAGGAGGAGGTGTTAGTGAGTGTGAGTGACATTCATTGCTGGTTTCTAGCAGAGGCTTCGCAGGACATGGTCTGGGGCCAGCATGATTGGGGAGCCAGGCACTCCTTCTGTCCCACTTAGCAAGAGCTTTACTTTCCTGCAGAAATGTTTGATTTGCACCTTTGGCTTTTTAGTTCTCTTTCTTTTTTTTAATAGCCACCTCACCGTAGGATGTATATAAGCACTGAAAATTATAATCTTGTAAAAGCATATGCATATATTATTTACGAAGGACTGATTATCTTTTTTTTTTTTTTTTTTTTTTTTTTTTT